CATTTATTTATTTCTGTTTTTATTTTTAAATATGGCAGAGTGTTTATTGTATTTTTGTTGGCAATTAATTGTATGCTTATATATTTATTGAGCATTTACTTATTTCTGTATTTATTTTTAAATATGGCAGAGTTGGTCCTCCATAATTGAAAGCGTACGGGTTGAGTAGCTGTAGGTCCATCAGCCACTATCCTTAGAGCGCCCCCACCATTTTGTATCACAAAGTTACACTCTTGCTCTGCTCTACTTTCGCTTATGCCAGCCAAGATCCAACAGTAAAATTAAACGTTTAGGTTCGCCTCTGTCTTTACGTTTCTACAAACTACTTCTTTGAGCAATATTTACAGAAATTCGGTGACATTTCCTGTATAAAAACAGTAAAATATTAAGTGAACCGTGTGACGTACTTACCGTCGATGTTTTCAGCACTTCTCAGTAGGCTAAATGAAATTAAAGCAGCTTCAGCTCAGCAGTCAGGAAAGTCACGTACAAATGACCCTCCTCCGTCATACGCGCTCAGGTTTTGCCATTTCATTTCTTCTGGTCATTTAATTATTTTGATCAGAATGTGCGTCTGCGTTTATATATGTAAACCAGGCTTCCACAATTGTAAGTTTTATACATAACAATTTAAATTTATTTTAACGGCTGTATCCAACACTATACACTGAGTTGGTGATGATGGAGCCATTGAACATTATTCTATCATCTAGGTTATCATCCTCAAAACATTAAATAATTCATTCATTCATTCACTTAACACAAGCCACAGCTAAAAAGGTGCTGAAAATTAAAAACAAGGATTAGGGATAAAGTAAAACTAAACACAAAATAATACATTAATAAACTTACTTCAACTTACTGGTAATTGTGCGATACTTAGTAGAAAACAAGTGATATAAATGATCGATTTTCACCTTTGTTTTCTGTATTGTTTTTAGCTTTTAATTTGATCTATATTGAGCACAGTTTTACAAAATTATTTTTCACAAACCCATTTTTTTGTTTTTTAAAATCATGACATCATCAATTATTGTCATTCAAAAATGTTAAAAAACAAAATATGAAAACTCATTAATTTGAAATTCAAGTCATCTCTGAATTTGTGTTTTACATTTTTCAATTTTTTAAACATCTCACGTTTAATTAGCCTTCACTTTGTCAGTGCTACTGAATTTCTTTAGCTTTCAGGTCTTTATTGTCTTTGCTCAGCACTTTGTGTCAGGATACCTATGTCTGTAACAGCACAATAATAAAGAGTAACATAAAGCATCAAAATAAACAAAGTGAAGAATGATGAAACATAAACATTAGCAGCTGAACCTCTGTGGTCTTCCCGACATTGTGAAAAATATTATTCAAGATCACCTGGTTGTCCAAACCAGTTGCCCAGGACCTTCCAACTAGTAAATATAATTTTCTGTTCAAAATTTTTTTTCAGCAGTTTCAGCTGCTCTTTGCCCTCTTCCTTGTCTAAAGGATGTGCTGTTTGGGTGGTTTTCTGATATGACCGTCAAGGACATGTAAGCTTTATTTTACTGGGAGGGTTGATTGCATTGCAGGACTGCCCAAAGTACTAATTCAATGCTGTAAGGACTGAAAGAAGATATTCAGGAAAGAAGAATACGTTTCTTACACAAAATATGGTGAATGTGTGTAATGTGCACCGTAGTGTTCACTGAATTTTTATGATCAGCTACAATTCACCTTGAAAGTTGCTGATTTAACTTAAAGGAGAAGTTCGGTTTTTAACACTTTTAGCCCATTTTCTGTAGTGTCCAGGATGAAATCGAATGATCGACACCAAAAGTTTGACANATATATATATATATATATATATATATATATATATATATATATATATATATGTTATTGCTTCATTCTCCCACTCCTCGGAGTGTTGATTGCATGTGCACAGTAGTTTTATGATCAGCTATAATTCACCTTAAAAGACACAGAATTTACTTAATTCTTTAATAGAGGGTTAAAGACATTTTTTAAAAACCAAAATAATATTAGAAAAATCTCTTTGCTAAATTAAAATTTCTCAACAGATAATTAATATGTGGTTCTTACGACCACTTTTGAATAAAAAATTAAGATTTTTTTCTTAATTTTTTTTTTTTTTTTTTTTTTACAATGTTTTGTGTTTCTGTATCCCACCAGAGTGCTTGAATGAATAAAATGTTTTGCACTCTAAATAACAGAAGACATTTCATTCACAAATTAAATTGATGAACAGCACATTTGTAGTAGTTGTTTTAGTGAACCAAAAAAAAAAAATCAAATTATTTTGATTAAATTAAAATTAGTCTTCTATCAGCAAGTGGAAAAAAAGAGCAAAAGAAATCTGTTTAAAAGAAAAAAAAAGGTATTTGATTTGATCTATGATAAGTATGTGGCAGAAATAGTTTCGGGATGTAAAGAAATCAGTAGAAATGTGTCTTCCAATGAAACATAACCGTGCACTGTTTGATTTATTTCAGTGGAGATAAGTTATTATTAATCTGTTATTAAGGTTAAAGCAGAAATAAAAATCCCATCCATCCATCCATCCATCCATCCATCCATCCATCCATCCATCCATCCATCCATCCATCCATCCATCCATCCATCCATCAAACCTACCAGCCATTCAACCAACCAACCAATGGTATCCCTCTAGGTCTCCTCCTGGTGGGACAAGCTCGGAACAATTCACCTCGGAGGCATCCAGGAGGCATTCTAACCAGATGCCTGAGTCACCTCAACTGGCTTCTCTCTACGTGGAGAAGCAGCGGTTCTACTCCAAGTTCTCCCCTGATGACTGAGCTCCTCACCCTATCTCTAATGGAGAAATATAAATCCCCCAAAGATAAAACATTAGTCTGAAGCTGGAAAACAACTTTATTTTACACCATCTTTCAGCAATCAGGATTTAGTCTGATTTTTGCAGATATACACACAAATATATCAAAAGTCATAAGGCTAAACTGTAAAAAAAAATTTGAAAAAATGATTACAGCCAAACTCCATGGCAGAATGCACTGAAATGATTAAAACTTCAAGCTTGTTTTTAAATAAAGTTTAAAATACTGCAATGGTACCAACACATTAATTAAAGTATACATTAAACATCTCTGTCCTTCAAACAGGAAGCTCTTCTACTTTAAGATTCTCCTCACAGAAAAAAAAATCAACAAAAGTAAACAAAGTACTTCAAAGGCCTCTTCATCATTCACTTCCTCCATTTTTTTCTCTCTACTTAACTGCTTCTTTCTATTATCTTTGGTGCGTGTGCAGTATAATCCACTTTATACTTCATGGCAATACACAATGAGCTGCGTGGTTGCAGGTAAAACTACAGCAGTTGTGCAAAGGTGGGAAACAGAAGGCATCTGTGAGTGTGACAGCAGAGTGGAGTCATTAAACTCTCCAAGTGAGCGAGCAGGGCAGCTATTCAGCATCATCAGTCAAAGTAAACCTGTAATGAAAAACAGACTAATGAAAAACAAAAACACAACCCAACATTAACTGAAGAGAGAATGTAATTAACAAGAAACCACATTGAAAGGTTTAGAGACACCTAACGGCCGGACACTTTACCATTTGATGATAATTTGCTTTTAAAACCAACTCCTCCCATGAGTTAAGTAGTTTTTGGCTAAAATTCTTTATTGGGAGAATTTATACACTATACGATAAAGTAAATGTTGCTATTTTCATATTAAATTAATAAATAAGTTTGTAAGGGATCTTATCCAGAACCAAAACAGTGCCTTTATACAGCGTTTAGGGTTTGTTCAATCAGTTAATCTCACCAGTCAGTGACTCCAGAAGTCAGGTCAATCTGGGCCAACTCAATCAGCACCTGAAAGAGTAGATTAGTAACTGGGATCAGTTAGTCTGCATGTAGCCTGTGGATTTTTGTGAGTGAAAGATAAATAGCATATGTATTTAATGTAGAAGAAGTAATCAGCCAGGCTGCATGCCGAAGATTCTTCCTATTCATATGTACTGTTTTTTTTCTGCACGTTTTTTGGTTGAGTTACATCACATTGCCTGTATAGTTGTTTTTTGGTTGCCATAAATGTATGGTGATAACACAGATAAAGCTGTATATGGATGCAGCCTCACACTGACCTGTCCAATAACATCCGGGCTCCTGAAAGAGGCGGAGTTATTTTTTACTGACACACTGAGGCGCCTGAATCTGGCCTCATCCTCACGCAGATCATACTCAAACCTTGAGAGACATGAACAAATATAAGAAAACAGTTCAGAAAATAAACAGCTACAAACTATATAGAGACAAAATGTTTACCTTTCATTGTACTCTGGGTTGAGGTCTTTTTTCCTCACTGCTGTCTTTTTCTTGGTAGCTTTACTTTTGTCTGGCAGCAGCATGATGGAGACATAGCTGTCAACAGAGTCCTTACTTGGAGAAACCAGACCTCTGTGTAAAAGGCAAAATATTTAACTTAACCTTTTTGCTTTTCTGTGTAAAAACATCCTTAATAGGAGAAAAACGTTAGCTTATTTGAAGCAGAGGCTGTATTTACAAAGTCAGGAATGTTCAGTAGATGCCAGACATAAAGTAATGTTTCATATGTCATTATTGTTTCTTTGCAGAGTGAATCCATGTAGTAACAGGATATAAACAAAAACTGGTTAGTAGAAACGATCTGTTGATGTCAGGAAGAGGGAGAACAACTAGAATTATACGAGAGAATGCAGCTTTTTGAATATGACTGGTGATTTTCAATACTAATGAAATTAATATAGAGATTTTCTGAGTTTACAACATACATTAAGTTTATTCTTTTAAATTCAATCACAAATCTGCTCTGGATCAGCTGCTGGCTTTTCTTAAATGACTCTATATCGGGCAAAAGATCAGAATTTAGGGGATACAAACAATTGACAGAGGAAATAATTCAGATTTCTCCCTAAAATAGCTAAATGGCATGAATAAAATAGCTTCATTTCCAGTATAGCTGGTTTGAATTATTGAAATAATCTTCAACTAATATAGTAACCGATTAATCATTATTTGGAGTATAGAGACTGTAAAACAAGCCTTTAGCTGACAGAATGACCCACATAGAGCAGTAATTATACCAAAATATAATATACAACATTTTTCATTAAAAAATGTGCTCTATCCAGAACTCCTCAAGTGGAAAGGTTTTAGTTCAACCTGGTTTAATTTCATAAAAAAAAAATTCTTTAATGAACCTTTTGCTGTCTGAGTATTAATCGATTTTTGGAAAAAAATAATCAACAGATTAATTGGTTAGCAAAATAATCGTTAGTTATAGACCTAGTGACTACAGCATGATATAATGAAGCATGTCTGTCATTCTATTTAAACTTTATTCTTATTAACAATCTAAGTTTGTTTAAATGAGATCAATGTGACATGGTTTGGTTTTTGTAACCTAAAACTAGTCTTTGTGTTAACATGGTCAAATTCAATAAGAAAAGTTACAAACACTATCTGTATGTTTCAGCACACACCTGCAGGCATGGACAATCACCACCAGTTTTCTCTCCTTTGAGCTGTAAGACAGGGACAACTTCACCTGACCATTTCCAGGTGCAGGAGCAGTACAGGGCAGAGTCCCTGAATCAATCATGTCCACCATCTTGGAGTTCAGGATCTGTTAGAAACATAATAAGACTATCTATATTACTAATCAAAGCTAAAAGCCTTCAGATGAAGCGTGTCAACATTTTTTTTTAGATCTGTCACCTTAAGTTCAGCCCTCAGCAGGATCTGACTTTCAGGTAAGGCTCCATCTAAAGGAAACCACTGATCCAGGACCAGCTGTGGTGCAGCCAGAAGATTCTTAAGTGTGATCACCAGAGCTCCAATTGGCTCATCCCAGCCACTAGACAGCTGCAATCGAACCAGAGGGATAGTTATTTTTGACAGAATTTAAGACTATTTAGTGAGCAACAACAAGAGATATGGGAACCATCCTGCCTTTGCCACAAGCATCTGACGTTTAGGATCATGGACCAGGAAGTAGAAAGACTCATTCCACTGAGGATCTGTACTCCGGTCACACAGCTGGCGAGAGGTGAAACGCAAGTTATTGGAAAAGCTGAATCACTACAAGACGAGCAAAAGGCTTTAGGAGTCTCACTTTAGTTTTGTAGGTTGTTTCACCCAGAACAAGCTCAACACCTGCTTTAGGTTCTTTTCCACTCTTCTTAAGCTGTATTAAAAAAGGAGCAATGTTTTATTTTACATGAAATCATATATGCAGCAGACAGTGATGATAGATTAACATCAGCTGACTCACTGGTAGTGAATGTGCTCCCTCCAAGTAGACAGAGAGCAGAGCGGCTGAGGGAACAGCTTTGTTCTGATATGACTGCAGAGTTTGAAGCTGCAGCACCTAGAAACATGAAGCACAGCATCTTGTTTACGTTGTTTGCACGCATCTAACCAATATTTAAAAGGTCATCACTCATAGAGGACAATAATACAGTCATAGAGGGCCGACCTGTTCTACTCTTGCTGAGTTTGACACAGTAGGAACCCATTCTAGAATCAAATGAATTTGTCCAGATTTCACATCCTTCAGAGTGAACCACTGCAGCAGGGAGAGAAGAAGAGAGATAGTTACAGATAAACAGGCTGGACAACACCCTTCAATAAAATATATAACAACACAAGGTTAGGAAGTCACAAGATGAGTTTCGGGATCATGAGTTACTGACTAACCTGATCTGTGTACTGTGATCTGATGACCTCATTTAGCTGAACAGTGAATCTGTAAACGGGAAAACAGACAAATGTTTAACAGAATCTCACAGGGCCTTAAAAATGCTCATGCAAGCATTAAATTCCTTATATTTTATACAGATTTAATGTTAGAACAAATCAAAGGGTTTTGTAACAGAAAAGCTTAAAGAAAGAAAAACTAAAAGTGGTTAGAATTTGTATTCAGCCCTCCTTAATCAGTTTGTAAGACCACATTTTGTTGCAAATAATGGTGCAAGTCTGTCTTTGTATGCCTCTATCTGCTGCACACATAAAAAGAATTAAACTGTTGCTAGTTTTTATCCCCCAAACTTCTCCATCTTGGGCAGAATGAGTTAAGAATCTCTGTGGATATTGATTTAAAGTCTAAAATGATTTAGGTATGTCTCTGACTGAGCAATTCTAACACATACATAGACTTTGATATAATCGATTCTACTATAGATCTGCATATAATTAACAGTTTTTGTCCTGTTTCACGGTTTAACATAATATCCCCTCTAAATAAGAAATGTGATATTGTTACTAAAGAATGTACATATCCAGTGAAAAAAGGGGAAAGTATAAATAGTTTTGTGAGGCAATATAAATAAAAATTGTTTCAACAATTCATACACACCGTCCTAAGAAGTCATCTGAATCTATGTCCTTATCAAATGCTTCAAACTTGATGTCCTGATTGCTGCGCCCATTCACAACTACCTGTTCAAAGAAGCATAAATAAATGCCTTCAGAAAAACAAGCAGACAGGAAGAAAACAAGCTGTTATATTTGAAGCATCATCCTGCCTACCTCATACATCTCATTCCATGTTGGGTTTAGGTTCTCTTTGATGACCTGACTTTTAAAAGAATTCTCTCCGATGTTGATTTTAACATAAGGATCACTCTTGCCCTTCACCATGCCCCCCATCAGGTTGTCTTTTGCTATAAGGTTCTTGGCTTCCAGCAGGTGGATCCTCAGCACCCCCTACAGGAAGAACATGTAAACTGTTTAAAACAAGTTCATAAACACAACTTAAAATCTGGCATTTCTCTTCATTTTGGTAAGCATTAAATCAATCAATTAGGGTAAAAGGGTGGTCACATGTTTTTTTTTTATTCTAAAATGTGTGCAAAGCTGCTATATTCTTCTTGTTTTCTGTTTCAACATCAAACCAACAACACAAGCAATTTATGAGTCATCCATCCTTTGGTAAATCCCAGGCTTTATTTTGAGCTTCTGGAGATTTTACAAGCCGACACGAGACAACCACATCTGCATCAAAATACTGGGAACCAGCCCCATCCATGAGACTACAGGAGGATAAACAGGCTGAAACCAGGCAGCATTTTTCCCTTCAACCATCCACCATCTGACTATATTATTATAAACACAGGCAGCTGCATCACAGACCTTAGATCAGTAGGAACTTATTCAAACAAGTATCACCTCTTGTTATAATGCATTTTGTATGTAGTGTCATAAAGAGAGTTGTTATAAAACAACTATTTAACAGGACCTGGGCTTTGATTAGTTGGTTTTTAACCTTAGCTAATCTGATTCAGATTTCACTGGTGCTGCATCAGATCCCAGTCCATAGCCAGCAGCTGTAGCAGCTGCTTCTGTCCCCTTGAACCCCAGTCGGCCAAAGCAGATGGACGCTCACACTGAGCATGCTTCTGCCTGAGTTCTCTTCTTGTTAAAAGGGAGTTTTCCTCTCCACTGTCGCTACAAGCATGCTTGGTAACTATGAACCAATCTGACTATATGATCTGGTTGAATTGTCTCTGTAAAGTCCCTTGAGATAATGTGTTGTGTTTTGGCGCTATATAAATAAACAGAATTTAATTTAATTAACTAACTGAAGGTTGTTGGTTTGTTTTACAAACTGATGAAAATCATATGCTGCTAAATCATTAGTTT